AGTTTTATACTTATATCAATAACGTCTTAATCAATAAAGCTTGACTACTTCGTAGACTGAGGTTCCATACCTCCTTACCTAACACTACGTATATCCTCACTATAACTGACTATACTATGTCATCTAACATAATTAGTGGAACATGATATCTTTTACTTCTGGCGTTCCCATGTGTCAGAGCCGTCAAGGAGAACGGAACCAGTCTGTTGCTCAGTGCACTCCTATTTTAATTAATAGTTTGGTTATGACGCCTACACAAAAAAAATGATTGAAGTTAGCCTCATGAATCTCTTGTGTATTCGTGCTGAGATGTCGTCGTCAATGATGAGAGGTTTCGTGTGCATTTCGGATTGTGAGGGCGATTGTTACTTCCCGGCTGCCCACACCGTGGAAGTTGGTTGCGTGACCGCAGAGCCCAGGGTACAACTGCTTGAGGCCGGTCACACGCGGCCTGCTTTTGTTTGTTCTTTGTTGTTTTGTGTGCCTCAGTAGCAGATGTATCACTCCTGCCCTGTGACACGGCAGCGGGAAGCGCGGTCGTTGTTAATCCGGGCCACGGCCGATCCGGCATGAAATTTTGTGATTTTGTATTGGACATGATGTTGGATTGGGTAGCTGCTTTTTGTTTAACCGCTATCCAAACAACCTGCCTGGCATGGTAGTACCTCAAGAGACATACGTCTCAGCCAGTATAGCTTGAATAGATCATTGCGGTGTTCAAGCCCGACCACCACGTCAAGGTAGCAGCTTTCGGTCGGCAATGAGAAGTCATTAGAGGATGATTCAACTTTCAGTTGTCAAATCACTCAACCATTTCACTGTCTATCCTTAAACTAACAGTCAATTAAGAGATAGACACCAGTTCTTCAGCACAATATGGTTCTGTCTTCTACTCCACTGCATGTGTACACTAAAGTACCCTTTAAACTAACAGTCACTATAATTAGTGTCATGCTCAATTTTAAACATTAATAAGACAGATGTGATAGATGATATAAACCTACTGTGGTGGAGTATTTTAGATCTGCTGTTCAGAAGACAATTACTGATCAATTGGTCGACCGATCGATCGATACGGCTAGCCGTATCATTATCCGTGATCAGTGTATCTGATTCACACTGTTGAGATATAAGCTACTTTTGAGAAATTAATAAGAAAACAGAGGTATTTCGCAGTGGATGAAAAACAAAACGATATCGTCGTCCATTTTATTCACGTTTCGCTATTTAATGCGGCTGCTAATAGCTTTATCAAAGTAATATTGTGGTGAGAGCTGCCTGCTAGCTGAAATTGGTAGACAGTAATTTACGTCAACGTTTACGTCCCCAATATTGGTTGTGAGAAAAGTTAGAACAAAGACTGATTCAACAACCAACCACAGCAGACTTTGCATAGGCGGATACAGTTTGCAGATAGATGATCTGAACTTCAAGAAAATGCCACAAAGAGATGAAAGATTGACGTTCAGCGAGAAACCACCGATCAGAATCTATAATAATGTACATGAAAATCTATTAATACATGTTGATTTCATAAATAAACGATCTGTTGCCTGGCCCTTTTCTTCTGTTGTTACAGTATTATTAAACCGGAATTTACAAAATTCATTCAGCTTGCAGTATATAACAACTTAATCATCGTTTACTACAATGGGGGTAATTTTTGTGTTGTTGTCAAGTTGGCCAATTGGTAGAGATAAAAAAATCAAGTGTAAATTGTTGGATGTGATAGGAGTATAAAATTATAAAAGCAGCGTGTGTGTTTATATATTGAAATTGCTTATCACAATCGTGTTGACTTTTTCATTTCATGGGGGGGGGTGCGGGGTGTTGTAACCAGTTCGAATTCTGTTTTACTCCATCATTTCTATTCATCAGACAATTGGGATTCTATTTATAACATGAAGTGCTTCTGATGATATTAGATGTTCGTTGTCATTCTTGAAATTTTTCTGGATGATGATTTCAACATTGTCAAAATCAATTTCGAGACTTGATTCTATAGCATAGCGTGTAGACGAACTATACCTGATGAAGTTTCAAGCTTTTCTAGCTCACTAACAACTGGATTTCTCGGTGATCGAACGGACACTCACTCTATCCTAGAGTGTTCATTTCTTCTGATTACTGTGATTTCTCTCTGATGTGGTTCTCCCGAAGAAGTATATCGCATCACATTGTAAGAGTTTTACTTTAGTAGACATAATTAGATTGCATGGAGTACTTAATCATGAGCTGACATCAGTTAGAGAACCACTGGAAAACCTGGGAGTACTGGACAGCTGTTTCGTCCTAGTTTGGGACTCTTCAGCAGTACGCACCCACTGGGATTGAAAAATGCCTAGGGTTTTGGTCTTTTACACTGGCAACGTTGCTCTCTAGTGTGTGTTTGTGTGTGTGTGATGTTTTGAGGAATACTGTGATATTGTGTTCATTCAGTACTCCTCTTCTAATATAGTCTGACATCTCTGCTCTGAATATAGATATATATTCCTCCCTCCTCTTAACTGGGCAGTCCAGAAGTGGTAGTTCACCGAATTTTGATTTTGCCGGTTTCCTAAGTAGACTGGATGTTTTAAGATAGATTGTTCAGTTTATCGATGAATGAGCTACTGTGTAGATCATGTTTTTTAGCACTACAAAATTATCATCATCCACATATCTTAACCATATTTTTTGGAAGTGAGTATGCTTGAAAAGATGTTATCTTCGAATCTACTCATGAAAAGAGACCAACGGCTATTGAACAAACTGATAAATCTATAGCAACACCATTTGTCAGTCTACGTAAATTCCCTTTAAATGTAAAATAATTAGTTTTTTCTAGACAGAATTTCAAGCTTCATAATTATTTCACTGGTGTCCAGTGGACATCTCTGTGATAGCGTTGTATCTGATTCTAGTAAACAGGAAATGATATCAAGACTTTCGTTAATAGGGATACTAGTATATAATGAGTTAATATCATCTTTTTTTTATCCTTAACGTTCCCCATTGGAACACAGGGCTTCAAGCTAATGGCTTGAAGTTTCTGTAGCAGTGTGTTTATTTTACAGGATGGGGTTGTTAGCCTCATGCCCACCCAACCTTACTTCTTCACCAGCATTGTTTCTAGCTTAGCGAGGTAAAGGAGTGCGTCTGTGGCCGGGGATTGAACCCCCGACCTTGTGCATGGTTGGCGAGCGTCTTAACCGCTTTACCACCGACGCAAAGGGGGTACCCGGGTTTGAACCGGGGAAAATATCATCATAGCTTACTATAGTGTCTTCTTTATCATTTTCTCGATGTTCTATTGGGGATTTGAAGTCATAAGTCAATATGGTGAATAAACTTACGTAATCGAGAGAGAGAGAGAAGTGACAGCTGACTAGTCAGCTGAGGACTACTAAATTGGAAATAAATTTAAGAAATATGAATAACAAGAGAACAAGGAATTGAAAGTAGGTTTGAAAAGTCAAAAATCTGCATAGATTTTATTATGCAACTTATGAGGTCTTGTTATCGATCGATTATACCCAATTGCCGACTATTCATCACCTCATTAGTAAGATGTTACCTGTTTCTCTCTCTCTCTCTCTATCTATCGATTACATTAGAGATTATTCGCTATGTTTCACAGTTTTGTTATTTCTCATACACTTTGACTTATTTTTGTTACTAATTTCGATAATACAAACTTTGAACTTTGTTGTCAGATAGAACAGTATACGCATAAATCGCTAAATTAACTGTACAGCTTTGAAGATAAGTTACACAACAAAAAATCCCATTGCTAACGTTGCATGTGTTCCCAGTCTGCTCACATGCTTTCATCTCCTCTTCACATGACCTCCTTCTCCAAGTCACTCTCACACTGACGACCAACTCGCCGCTTCCCTTTCGGTCGGGTTCCACTCGAGCAATTGCTTGTCTAGTGATGTCATTTGATGATGGTTTGTTTCCTCAGAGTATGGCCAACCGATCCACCTATCTCCATTTTTTCCTGCCTATATGTTTCACAATCAGTTCCTGCTGTGTTGGTTTGCTCATTGCCAGAAATCTTTTCTGGCCGTCACCTGATCTTGAGTATTGAGCGAAGACAACTATTAATGTAAGTGTGTAGTTTGTTCGAAGTGCCCTTCGTGACGCGGCGTGGCTCCAAGTCTGATCCACATAGCTAGTAGCACTGACTTCACATTGGAGTTGAAAGTCCGGATCTTATTTTTCATGGTGAATAGTTACTTTTTTTAATTTTTGATTACAGCTTGATTCCACACTGTATTTTTGGTACAAGTATGGAATTTCCAGCATGGATATCGGTAGCCCAAATATTGCAGGCCAACCATAGATATCAGGTGTTCGTCGGCAGGGGATCGAACCTCAGACCATGTGCATGGTCGGCGAGAGTCCTTACCACTGTGCCACCGACGCACAGTGTTGTTGACCTCCACACAGACTTGAGAGTAATGAAAGCTTGTCTTGCTTTCCTGATCCTCGCTGCTTTGATATCCTCGTCAGTTCTATAATCTCGGTCAAATCAGCGGTATCCGAATCACCAGTCTTACTGTATCTATCAGGTAGATGTGCTACGTGATCCAACTTTTAACTGGATCATACATCAACTGGTAGGTAAGCGAACGAGTAAATCAATTCCGGTGGCTGATGGTTCAAGTCCTGCCCCCGCCGCCACCTCCACCTACATTTTCATTCTATATCAATAACCAACGGTCCGTCAATTCAGGATGTTTCGTCCCAGTTTAGGAGTGTCTCTTCATCGGTACGCATCTCCACTCGGCTTCGAACCCAGGACCTCCCCGGTTACATGGCTAGCGAGATCGTGGACCATTAAGCCATTGGGACTCGACCGATGCAATATCAGTTCACGATATTATAGCGCAATTAGCTCTAGTCGGTATTATCACTGTTAGAGTATTTTTCTTCACTCCCAACCTTCTGTTATTAGTTTCGACTTTTGTGTTTTATCTGTCCTCTTTCTCCTCTTTTCTCTAACCTACAAAAAGTTATGGACATCCGGTGTGACTATCAGTCATTCATATGCTCCTGGAGTTGTCAATCCAAAAGCAATCAATACAACCTTATATTATCTTGCTTCAAATAGTCCAAATCTATTGTCTACACAATCGTCAGGCAGTAATTCCTCCGTTATCGACCAATATAAACTACGACATGAAGGCTATGATCAATGTTTCCGTGGTACATATACTCTGTAAGTCTCTCCATTTATTTAATTTTTTCCGTTTTTTGATATGGTTCCCGTATTTTTCTTTCCCTAAAATGATTGATTGACTTGACGATTTCATCAGGAGCTGATGATATGGGTAAGAGAACCATTGGAAAACCTCGAGGAAAGTACTGGACAGCCAGCTGTTTCACAGCCATTTCAAACTGAGGATCTTCTGATTTATACAAGGCTAGCAAGCTCGTAGATCATTCATCAACCACTGGGACCCACCCAACCTAATGACCAACCAGTTCATGAATTCGAACTTCTGCCAATTCACACACGACATAGCGCGACCACTTCGCAATGTCTTCTTCGATGTGAATTACTGCTTCACCTTCAACCTACTGCTTTAGCCTACCGGTCACGGCTTCCCCATGGTTCCCCTATGGTTCTCCAACTGATGTCAACTCATGATGATATCCTTCAACGAACCAAACAAAATCCCTGCACAAACCGATACCTGGAAATATATATAATATATATATTTTTTTCGTTGACTGCTGTGTTTTGATGGAGTTCATTACGTTCGATAAAATCGGTCTCCATTTTTTTTTCATCACGTGATCATTTTGAAAAAAAAATATTTGTTTGACACTGGTTAGACGAATGCGTCATAGACGACGTAAAATCAATCAATAACTGGATCTGTGTCAATAAATGTTTCGATTTTTGTGTTTGACCAACTGACTGACTAACTGACTGACTGAGTGACTCAGCTATAACATCGTTTAATAACATATAATGGAGTTATAAGTTCTTTTGGATTATATTAAATAATGTCTGTCTGTCTGTCTGTTTTCAACAAAGAACTTTGCACCGATGTGCACCAGTTCAAGCCGCCACACTCCCTCCTAGTAGAACACAAAGCGAGAGAAGAAAGTAAAAAGAAATGCATCATAGAGACAGTAAACAGAGACAGGTGTGAGACAAAGGAATAGTAATAACGAAAAACAATATAGTTTCATTGAAAATCACAAGTCATAGGGAGTGGATGCATCTGTGCTAGCCATCATTGAGAACGATCACTTTGAGCCATGTCACCAATTGTTTCCAGTCTTCATTGGTTTTTACCGTCCCGAGGACCTCAACCAGTCAGGAAGTCTACACCTCCCTACGGTGGCTTAGACTAACTGTTGTGGATTTCATTGACTGATGAGGAGGCCATGTTTTGGTTTGACCGCTGCTAGCTCTTTTCCAACCTGACCCTATGTCAGCTAACATTGCCCACCAGTCGAGGAAGGCGATGATTAGGCATACGTAACACGAAATAATTAGTTGTTATTCACGTTTCTAGTGGGATGTACGACTTTAATGTGAAAATTAGAAGTTTTGCATTAGCATTAACGAAGATAGTGAAAACGCTGGCAAAATAAAGCAGAGTCTTCTGAACACCTTGAGTAGTAAGCAATCTGCGAATATTCGGCATACGATTCTCTCCTGTTTTCAAATGTAAGATGATATATATGCCGCAGAACTGAACTGAACTACATTGACTTCTAGCTGAGAAATAGGGAGTGAAGTGGTATAGCACGTAAACCATTTTTCTTATTTGAGAAGTTTCACCAACCAATGCTATAGAGTTGATCGTTGACGAAATCTCTGCACGGGTACAGAAGGCTTGTTTCGCATATGCCAGTTTACACCGTTTCTGGCGTAAACGTGATATTCGACTGGCTATCGACCGAATGCCGTGTATACTGCTCAGCAGTTCTCTCCCTCCTCATTTATGGCTGTGACTGAGATATAAGAATAAACTTTTTGAATGTAGTTAATAACTATTGAATTGAATTTTTGAGACCGAGCACTTCGGTCCAATCAATCGACGGGAAAGTCAAAAATTCAATTCAATAATTAATATGACCCGTTGCACAAGAGGTGGCTCTCGTGGCCCAAGTGGTCTAGTGGATATCGCTTTGGCGTTTGAAACTATGGGCACTGGGTTCGAGCCTCAGTGGGAACATCATCACTCACTGAGAAATGCAGGTACATCCAGATGACGAGTCCCAATTAGGACGAAATGCGCTTCCTGGATTCCATTGCTAGCCACCATCCACCAATTGTAGTTAATAACGATGATTATAATGATAAGAAAATATTGATAGTAAGGTTTATGCAGGTGGCGATAAGAATAACAAAGGTAGTGAGTGATATGTGTATATGTAGACAATTCAATAAATAAATTGGGTCAAATCCTAAAAGTTACGTAATACTAAACTAAGGTGAAGTGGACAAATAATCAGACTTTAAATAAATATCATAAAAATACGGAGGAAATGGAAAATAAGAAAGGATGCGTGGGAGGATTTTGAATAGAATTCACCTAGGCGAAGCAACGGGAGAGAGAAAGGTAGAACAAACTTCTTTTATTCTATGCAAAGACTAGGAGGATTGTTCTCTCGAATTAATTCCTATAGTTTCCTCGCCTATGTGTAAAAGACGGATTCGAATTCCGTTCCAAAGGCTCAATGGAATGCGATAGATAACTTTAAAGGCGGCACTATTTTTCTCCACTTGGTGATCGCCGCTATCATCAATCAAATGAGGCAAAATAGAACTTCTTATAGATTTTATTTAACCTTTTCCAAACCATGAAAGAAGAAGATACTCACTAATGATGCGTTTGTTAAGCTGTTTAGTTGTTCGCCCTATATAGGCAGCTCTCTCCACAGGAGCAACTAAATTTATAGATACATATAGAAATGGCACAGCTTGGTAGCTTGTCTTTCACTTGAGCAATCATCATTGGTCGGCAGCTGGAAAATGACAAACAAAGCGGGTGGCAGCAGGATAAGTCGGTTTTATCGCTCTCGATATTCTCAGTATTTCTAGTGGGTCTGTCTGTAGTCAAAATTTTGAATAATTGTAAATAGTATGTATGAGTGTACTTCGACCATCCTTTCCTTCTCACGATTCTAATTTGTTCAAGTGTTGGTGGTTTGCAGGGATTTGATTTAATTGGTTTCAGGATTTCATCATGAACTGACATCGGTTAGAGAACCATTAGAAAATCAGAGAGTAGCGGGCAGCTGGTTGTTTCCATTGTCCTAGTTTTTGTGACTGTCTCTTCAGTAGTACTCACCCGCCGACAGGGCTCGAACCAAGGAGCTGAGGTAGTGACCTCTTGGACCATTAAACCACTGGAACCCGATTGACCCAATGGCCCGCCCATGAATTCTACCTTGGCGGGTGGGCGCATACTGTTCAAGAGTCCCAAACTAGGCTGACGTAACACCTGGTTGTCCAGTAACTCTCTGTTGGTGGTATTTTGCAATAGTTCTCTAACCGATGTCAGCTTATTATGATGAAATTCTAACAGATGGTTTTTTGAAAAAATTCTTTTAATCACAAGGCTAGAATATGCAATTGTGTGTGTACCTACCTTCTTTTAGACATTGTATAAGCATCTTATAAAAAGTTGACTTTTGAAAACAAAACATACGCTAAACACACACACTCACAGAAACATACATGCATGCATGCACAAGACTGAATCGATTTTTTCTATTGAAGATCAATTTTTCTCTTTCTTGTTTTCCTTGCCACAGTCAAATTATTTCAATTCATGTCAACTTTCTTTTCAAGTTAACTAACTAACTGTTAATTAGTTCATCATGTGATGTTATATATATATATATATATATATATATATATATATATATATATATATTGATTTGTCATTCTTTTATTCTCACTCTCATTCTATAGTAGTGTATATATATAATCGATAAGTTTTTAGGATTGATATAATTTTTAATTGAAATAGTACTTTTGCACGTGTCTAGACGCACACACACACACGCACGTGTATACTCGTACGATTTTGTGTGTGTGTGTGTGTGTGAGTACATCATATGCTTTGTTCTCTTAACAAAATCCCATGTGTTTATGAAATTATGCACAATTTGAATTTTTTTTTAAAATAAATAATCACTAAAATCAATAATTAATAGTAATAATAATAAACATTAAAGGCTACCAAATAAAATATAGAGTTGTTAATGTACATAATTATTCCAGGTGTGTTTAGTTTTTAGTTAGCTGTTCGGTCATTGTATGAGTGTGAATGTGTGCGTGGGTGTGTAATTACATGTTCGTTTTTTTTTAAACCAGAGGATTTCATCAGATTTTAAAAACTGACTTATTCATGTAAGACAACCATTGAAAACCAGCCACAGGGAGTACTGGACAGCTGTTTCATCCTAGTTTGGGAATCTTCAGAAGTACACACCCACCCACACTGCAGGGTTCGAACCCAGGACCTTCCAGTTACAAGCAAGCAAGCTCGTATACCATTCGACCACTGGTAGAAATTAGAGTTCATGGATTGACCATTGATGAGTCGGGTCCCAGTGGCTGAAGGGTATACGAGTTTGGTTGCCTTGCAACCGGAAGGTCCTGAATTCGAACTCTGTAGTTTGGGTGTGTACTCTAGATGATTCCCAAACTAGGACAACGGAAACAGCTGGGCTGCCCAGTACTCCTTGTGGCTGGTTTTCAATGGTTCTCTAACTGATATCAATTACTAAGTGTGCCAGATCACAGTTACAATGATATGAGTTCAAGTGTTAGTTTACAGGGATTTAATCAGGTTCAGGATTTTGATCATGAACTAATAGCGGTTAGAGAACTGTTAGAAAACCAGTTGGGAGTATTAGACTGCTAGGCGTTTTGTCAGCCTAGTTTGGAACTGACTCTTCAGCAGAACTCATGCATCATTAGATCGAGTCTTAGTGGCTTAATGGTCTACGAGCTTGTTAGCCTTGTAACTGGAAGGTCCAGAGTTCGAATCCCGATCATTGGGGGGTGCGTACTGATGATGAACAGTCTCAGTCCCAAACTAGGCCCAGCCCAAACAGCTAGCTGGTTGTCTAGTCAGTACTCCCTGGTGGTGGTTTTCCAATGGTGTCTTCTCTAACAACCGTTGTCAGTTCATAATGAAATCCTGAAATAATATGTATTACGTTATTTTTTGTGATTATCAATCAATCCCTTAGTGACGTGTATTTTCTATATTGCTTTATTTGTTCCCTAAATATATTCTTTTATTATTTTTTTTATTTTCTCTGGCTATTTATTATTATTTTTCTATGTTGCGTGGGTGTATTCTATATATTTTTAACTCAATACTCTCTGTATTAGGGGATTTCTCTGTGTAACTAACTAAGTAAGTAAGTATGTTGTGTGCGTGGGTGGGCATAGTTGTTATTTTTATTTTTGTTTTCCTATCTACTCTCATTCATTCTCTAAGGGGTTGTTTTAGAAAGATAAAAATAAATATTAGATAATTCTAAAAATAGGTGATTAATTTTAGCGTTTTCATTATTCCCTAAAAATAATATAATTTCCTCTTCACTGATTTTAGCTATATATAGTTGATAGAATTGATGAGCACTTCTCTTCACCTTATATTTTCACAATGCTTCCTTGTGTGTGTGTGTGTGTGTGTGTGTGCGTCTGTTATATCTCGTGATGTAACAGGAAGTGTTTTTCACACCCGGCCGATAACTGCTACCTTGCTCTGGTGGTCGGGCTTGAATACCGCAACGACCGAACAAGCTAAACTAACTGGGACTCATGCCCCTGCAGGAAGGTTGTGTGGATAGCGGTGGTTAAACTAAAAGCAGTTAACATGGGATATATGGGCTCCAGTAATCCAATCGGATCAAATGGCGTATGAACCCATATGGATCACAGGAAACCATGGGGATGCAGCTCCTGACGCTGCTCCGCTGCCTTGCGGATTAGACTCCAAGTCATAGGCTCGGGGGGGGGTGAGGGTGGTCCCTTAATAAAACCATCTACTTTGGTCTGGGCGTCCGGGTTGTATCTCAGCCCCTCACACAACGAATTGAATGAAGCAACAGCTCATATCAATGGCTTGAAACGTTATCGGATATGGCCAAGAATCGTAATCGTCAATGGCGAACGTGTTGCAATTTCCTTCTTTCTTCCCTTCCCAATGATAGTTAACAAATACTGTTTGAACTTGTTAAGCATGACTGTTTTCCTTCCAGATGAAGTTCTTTATCCGTTCTCTACTTATATATATATATATATATATATATATATTCTCTTCTTTCTTTTTTTGCTTTTGATCTATGTTGTTTTATTATTATTGTGTGGTGCATTCTTCTTGGTGCCATATTGTACCAAGTTTTTATGCGTTTAAATAAATAAATAAGTGTTTCACTAAATGGCTCATTTATATTATGTAACTATTCTCTTGGAGAATCACTGGACTGTAATATCACGAACCCGTACTCTGACAGCTTGGAACATGAGAAATCTATTTATTCTTTCTATCCATACTGTCTTACACACAGAAATATATTGGACGGTATTCCGTATTTAGAGGTTAATTAGGTGCATTTCCTCCGACTATATGGGACTCGTCTCCCAGCTGTGGATGTACCTGCATTCCGCAGTCATTGAGTCAGTGATGATGATGTTCCCACCGAGGCTAGAACCCATAGTTTCAAACGTCAGAGCGTTATCCACTAGATCACTTGGGCCACGAGAACCACCTCCTTTGCACTGCGGAATGCAGGTACGCCCAAATGATAAGTTCGAAGTAGGGCGAAATGCGCTTTATCCTGGATTCCACTGCTAGTCAGTCACCATCCATCAATTGAAATTCTAATTACATGTCTAGGCATCGTCGAAGCATCTGCACAAAAAGCTGACGGACATGTTAACCTGGGACTGAGCCCTTCGGCCTAATCAATCGATGGAAAAATCTAAAATTCATTTAGATATTCCATATTGGTTGATTAGTGAATTAATTAATTAATCAATTTTACTGACTTCTAAATGAGTCTTTAAATATGCGTAGTGTATTCATGAAGAATTATTACTATTTATTATTATTATTATTATTCCCTTTGGGTTCCGATGAAAGAACATATGCAGCTTCGGCAACACATCTCCTTTCTATTTTCTGTTGTACTTTTCGCCTAGCTGACTCTACGATTGCACATAATCCCTCATCTCCTCCTCTGAAAACCTACTCGTTGCTTCCCATTGGGATTCCACTCGAGCGACGGCGTGCATTGCGCGCGATGTCATTCGACGGTCTTCTCAGTGACGTGTGCCCAATCCATCTCAATTTTCTTCTAAATTGATTTGTTCTCAGTCAGAGTTTCTTGTTGTCGGCCTGCCGTTTAATCTTCAGTATAGAGCTAGTGAAGTGGGCAGCTGTCGATAAAAAATCTGTAATTCGTTGAAAATGCTTCTATTGGCATACAATGCAAGTTTCTGACCAATGTAGACTGTCTGTCTGTTTTCGACAAAGAACTTTGCACCGATGTGCACCAGTTCAAGCCGCCACACTCCCTCCTAGTAGAACACAAAGCGAGAGAAGAAAGTAGAAGAACTGCATCATAGAGACAGTAAACAGAGACAGGTGTGAGACAAAGGAATAGTAATAACGAAGAACAATATACTTTCATTGGAAATTATAAGTCACAAGGAGTGGATGCATCTGCGCTAGCCATCATTGAGAACAATCACTTTGAGCCATGTCACCAATTGTTTCCAGCCTTCATTGGTTTTTACCGTCCCGATTATCCCAGTCAGTCAGGAAGTCTACACCTTCCTACGTGGCTGGCTGGCTGGCTTAAACTAACTGTTGTGGATTTAATTGACTGGTAAAGCCATGTTTTTGTTTGACCACCACTGGCTAGCTCTTTTCCAACCTGACCCTATGTCAGCTAACATTGGCTGTCGGTCGAGGAAGACTAGCAATGGCTGGGCATACGTAACACATGTCCTAACCATCTCGATCAATGTAGCTTCAGTACTAACTCATCGATTTATTTCCCTTTCTTACCTCCCCAGCACTCGACAGCTAACCTCAATATTGCTCACCTCATTATACCACTTAATACACACGGGAGATAGAAAGAAGGCACCTGTGATCAAAGACAGCTAACCAAACTTTGCATGTCTTCCACTCTCAATGTCCAGGTCTCACAGCTAGCTGTAAAGGAGGAGGACGGACTGATGAGCAGTATATCCACTCTTTGGTCGATGGCCAGCCGGATATCACGTCTACTAATCCAGAGACGACGTAAACTTGCATGTGCGAAATTAACCCTCTGTATCCGTACTGAGATTTTGTCAGTGATCAACCCGTTGCCGTTACCTGACGCAACTTCCGAGATAAGTGAAGCGGTCAACGTGCTCTACCACTTCACTCCTTATTTCTAAAGTAGGAGTCAGTGTAGTCCAGTCCTGTAACATTATCTTACATATGGCGGGAGCGAATCGCATGTCTAGCATTCGTAGATTGCAGCTCAAGGTGTTTAGAAGACTCCGCTCTATTTTGTCAGCGACCTCGCCTAGAAGGACTATATCATCTGCATATTCTAAGTCAACGAGCTTATTCCCTGGTAGCAAGTCAATCCCTGAGTCGCTGAAGTAAGTTAGGGTTAAGTTGATTAGTACATATATGTTGAAATTAAACAAAAATGGGGACACTGGTGGGCATCCCTGACGGACACCACTAGTTGTCGCCACTTCAGATGACAACTCGCCGTAAGCCCTCACCTGGCTGGATACATGAGTTCGAGTAGAGTGCCTTGATAGGTCCAAGGCACTTTGTGCGTTTTCCTGTCTTATTGATTTTGTAATGTTTGTATTATTCTTTAAGTTTGATCACAGATCGATATCAGTTAGAGAGAACTATTGAAAGCTAGCAAGGAGTACTAGACAGCCAGCTAGCTAGCTGTTTCGTCAGCCTAGTTTGGGACTCGTCGTCAATAATCTCGTTGGTGGTGACTGATTACAGGATACAGTTTCTCAGAGTTCTAGCAGGAAGTCGTGATCAGTGGGGTCCATCATGTCGGGGGTGAGAACAAATCCTCGTCATGGATGACATTGTCTGATGCTAGATGCGCTCAAGTCACGAATTGATAGACGCTAGATTTCATGAGCTGGTCATCAAGGAGTTGGATCCCAAATGGCTGAGAATATTCTACGAGCTTGCCTTGTAATCGGAAGGGTCGCGATTCGAAAGGTGGTGGTGGTGGGTGCCTACTGCCGATGAATCGCAAAACTACGACAGCGGAAACAATTATCTGTATGTTCAGTACTCCATGCTAGTTTTCCAGTGGTTCTCTAACTGATATCATCAATCCGTGGTTAAGGTAACAAAACAAATCCAGTCCCTACAAATCAACTCTTAAAAATGTTTATTATCCACTCCCTGTTTGTGATTTATTTATTTTATTTACATCACCTCTGAACACCCACATGATGAATCTAATATTATTAATGCATTGTTTATTGTTGTGCTGTTGATTGTTTACATATATGCATGTACTTGTATATTTGTGGGTGGGATGAGATGTGCTTGTTTATTTATTTATTTTTTCTACCATGTTAAATAATAAACATTTGTGTATTTATTTTTGTTGAAAAGTTCAGTTTCCTCTCATTTTTTTGTATATAGTGAAGATATGCTTCACACTGGATTAAACACTGTCAGCTTTTTCAGCATGACCTGTGAGTGTTAGACGGCTAGAAGGCTTTGCTGGGACTCTCAGGTTTCGTGCTAAATGGCACTCAACAGTCAATATATAAAAAAGAAATCCCCATTTAGAAATTTAGAAAACAGAAAGATTAAGCGAGCGAAGAAATATTTACTTTTCAATTAGATCCCCCCCCTCATCTCACTCTAGCTCTACTCTAATATATATCCGTAGCACTTTTATTACAATACGCAAAAGTTTACCAGTGAAATGGTGATATGTTTGTTAACAATAATTAAATAATTATTATAATTATAATTATAATTTTTATAATTGTGAAAGGTTCAGGGGGAGGGGGGCGAAGTAGTCCGGTTTATACATTCACGTAACGATGGCCACGGTAAGGAAAGTAGCTGTACAAATTTCTTCTGAACATACAGGTGTTTGGCTTCTTCTTCAAGTGGATTCCTATTGCTTCAGCTGTCTGTAGAAGATGGACTCGTAAAGAGAAATTAAGATTAGTAAGAATGCAATAGATAATTTTTTTAAATGCAGTTTAACGTCAACTTTATGCTCACTATCTACAAGGTGTGCTGAAATAGAGCTATCTACGAATAGATCTTATTTGTCCTTTGCTTAACCATGCTGCAGGATGATGTTCGGAAATACGATGATGAACCTGCCTAATTGTTCGCCCAATGTAGCTGGCTCCGCAGCTCCAGTCAAACTGGCAGATACACAAAGAGGAGGAGGTGAATTTAGGTAGTTTATCCTTATTCCTCGAATGTAGAATAGAGGGTGGTTGTGAAGAGACAACGTACCACTCTCTCTGCTGCATAATAAGCTCTTTTAACTGAATTCTTCAGGTGTTCGCTGTGTTATTTTATTTCACTGGTGTTGTCACCGAGGAACTGCAGTTTTATGAACATTGTTTTTTTTTCGGAACTGTTGCCATACAGACTCTCCTAGGTGCTTAAATTCATATTTTTCTCAATGAATTTATCTGGATAACCATGTTTTTTCTAAGTAATTCTCTAATAATCCTAAGCTCCTCAACATTCAGTCAGCAAGACGTATCTGCAACCGCTTTGAAGGAAGGAACTCATAGCCCTTCTGAGATTCGAACCTGCGTAACCACCTGAGTGACACCTACAGTTAGGGACGTTATCATAGAACAGCTAGCTATTCAGACTCGTGATTGGCCTCCTGTAGAACTGTACTTTTTTTCCTTCACGTTCCCAGTGGAACATAGGGCTTCAAGCTAGTGGCTTGAAGTCTCTGTAGCAGTGTTTAATTTTACAGGATGGGGTTGCTAGCCTCATGCACAACTCTTCCTCTTTACCAGCATTATTCCTGGCTTAGCGAGGTAAAGGAGTGTGTCGGCCCGGGATCGAACCCCGAACCATGTGCATGGTTGGCGAGCGTCCTAATCGCTGTGCCATCGACGGCCTGTACTGGATACTTTGGTTGGACACTAGGCAGTAACTAGTATAATATAATGTAAATCCAAGACTTCCTGTGGCCGATTGCCTCCAACTATCTAATGTCAACAATTCTTCAAAGTGAACCGTGGTAGCGAGTCACCTAGAAGAATAGTGACTTACATTACAAACTTAACTGGTAGAAGAATTCACTGCACGCACACACTACACACTAATGTGTCCAATCAAAATGACCTTTGAGTCGTGGATTCTTAAAATCTCACCTGATCTATTTCTTCCTGGTTGAGCTGTACTACGGTATGGCTCATATAACCTGTTCCTCCTGGTGTCATTGAATTCATATAGAGTGTTGCTTGGTGGTGGTGGTGATGGTCTATGACGATTTGACTGATGAATTCCATGGATAAATTTTTATTTTATTTTGATGATAAAACATGCATGATTGCTGTACACCCATCAGTGACGATTAGTTGAAGACCCCACTAACTAACTAACTGGTCACTGGAAGGTTCAGTCTAGAACAAACAATTTTTTTTCTTTTCATCCCTTTCGCATTGAAATCAACATTGTTAAGTCAGCGATGTTCTCATACTCACGACCTGCTGTACCCCACTGGTCATGACTTCTCACTAGAACCACCCAGGTAACTAAACTACCTACCTGAATATAGCCAGCCGCTAGGGAGCATGAGATGATTGATATTCTAGTGTTGGTTTGTAGGGATTTGATGTGATTGATTACAGGATTTCATCATGAACTGGTATCGGTTAGAGAACCATTAGAAACCCAACAGAAAGTACTAGGGCTGTCCGGTTGTTCCCATTGTCCTAATTTGGAACTCTTCATCGGTACACACCTACCGCCAGGGTTTGAACCCAAGACCTTCCGGTTACGAGGCGATCACATAAATCATTCTCAGCCACTGGGACTTGATTCATCGACCAGCTCATGAATTCCAACTTCTGCCAACTCAAGATATTAAAGTGCGACTTGCACTAACCACTGTCACATCCGATCTGCTGTACCCCACTGTTGCTGTGAGCATAATTCCCAGTTTTAGGGAATGGGTTAGATTAGCTATAGTTTAAAAGTAAGGTCAACTGTTGATTAGAGTTTAATGTGAGTCACTCTACACTAACAGATCTTTTCCTTAAATCCTGAACAGCATTGATGATTGAGTACTTAACGTGATTTAATTTTTAAATGCAATTGGTTGATTCAAAGTTCCTAATGGGCTCGCTTGTTCGTTTGGGATTTTATAGTGTAGATATACCGTGGTACCAATAAACGAAATTGAAGTGAATATGGCCTTTTTGGAATGTGGTATGTATGTCAACTAGCGTAACTTGTCAGGGAAGGTCGTGGTTGTGTGGCGGTGTGCCCTAACCAATTTCCAATCTATGTAGCTCTCTCTATACGTCCTCATCGATTGATTCCTCCCTGTGTGCTTAGTACTACATCCGATCTTATTGTTGTTATGGTCCATACTACACTACTTAATATGAGTTTTTACAAATGCCCATGCTTATGATCATAAACGTTTAGCTGTTTGATATGAATGAAATACTGCTAAGTGCATCATACGCCTATTTATTAGTAGCCGAATGTCACGTCGGCACTAGAGTTAGTTTAAGTCAGTCACACAGGGAGATGTAGACTGCTATCTGGTTGATTGAGGTTCTCAGGAGAGTAAAAAACAATGGCAGCTGGAGACAGTTGATGATATGGCTCAAAGTTTTAGTTGTCAATGGCTGTTGCAGATGCATTCACTCTTTATCATTTGTCATAATACAATAAAACTTCATTTTTCTTCCATTTTACCACTTTTTTAATCTCTCTTTACTTTCTTCTCTTGCTTTGTGTGATGGTTGTACATGGAGGGAGTGTGGTAAGTGGAACTGGTGCACGCATCTGTGCAAAGTTCTACGTTGGAACTATTTTTGATGTGGTTGTGTTCTCTGAGCTAGCTGGATAGTTAATTTACGAAGCTTTCATCACCCTACTTGCTAGGCGACATCTCCCTTCAGCGCATACTTCAATTTACTGAAGTGAGCTTTTAGATTTCTCCACGAGTTTAATAATCATCTCTTCTGGTCAGTGACCTTAGACGTGATTGGTTGTTTTTGTGTGTGTTCACACCTACTGGGTTGGAACTGATTGTTTCTTTGACCCTTTGTGTATGAGATTTCGTTCTTATCGGTTGGTAAATTTTGTCTATCCCGATGTGTCTATTGATTGATGATTCACT